GGGGAACGAGATATTATCTCGTGGGAACGAGATAATAAGTCGTGGGAACGAGATATTATCTCGTGAGAACGAGATAATTAACTCATGGGAACGAGATAATAAGTCGTGGGAACGAGATATTATGTCGTGGGAACGAGATAGTTATATCGTGGGAACGAGATATTATGTCGTGGGAACGAGATAAAAAAGACACCCACATGTCACCTCTGTGCCACCGTACAGATCTGATAAAACTACTGCCCTCTTATCTAGTAATCTCTGAATGGGGGTTAATAGTTTACTCAAGCTGACCAGAATGTTCCATTTGATTATTTTGGGAGAGGCAACATTATACATGTTTTTATGTAGAATTTGTCTTAAAATAGCATGCTAAATTATCTTTCAAAAGCTTATTTCTACTCAATCTATTTAGGTATTAGATATAGTTATACATTCAAATGAATGTAAAAAATAAAATGATGGGTGCTATGGTTTTTGGAAAATCCCTCACAATTTAAAATTATAATGGACTGTCCATGCAGTTACACCGTTGTAAAGTTTGAATTCAAAGGAATTGTGGTCAGTTAAAGCTTGCAAACACAAAGGAAATTATTGATATTGTAGCAATTCTGGAGATATTTTGTTTAAAATGTAAAAGTGCATATTTTTGATTTCTCAAAGAAAACATTTAAAGTCTTATTAGTGTGGTAAATATAAATGAGAAGTTTAAACTGAAGTGTGAATGTGTAGACAAGAAGATAAACAGCAGAATCATTCCCAGTCAAGGTTTCAGGTAAACAACTTTTACATACAATAATTATTGTTATTTATGCAGAAACTGTTTAGTTTTTTGACAGTAAAAATATGAAGTGGTATTGTATAAGATTGTGTTTTATATTTGTTTTGTTTGTAACTTGACTAAAAAGAAAGCTGCATGTACAATGTACATATAAAGTATGTAGGAATATAAAGAATGTAGGAAGATCTTCATCATTTCTTAAATACAATATGTTAGAAATTTTAAGTTTGAGAAAAAAATTATAGAAATTAATCAGTAAGTACAATATCATTATGTACAATATTACATCAATCAAACTATAGATAACCTGAGGTACCTATTACTACAACTTTCATGCTATAAACAATTTTCCTTGTGTGTCACATGTGGAGCAGATTAACAGTAACTGATTTATTAGTAAGTTTCATTCCTTCATTGTTGTAATTCAGCTTTCATGGTGCAGTAGATAATTATATAACCATAACTAGACAGTCTAGAGTAACATGCTATTAGGAGAATGACAGTTCATAACAGAAACAGCATTAAATAAGAATTATTATTTTGCAGACACAAAGCAATGAGGAGCAGTCTGGAGCAACACATTTGATCTTCAGTGGCTTTACAAAGGTATCTTGTTAATTCAAAGTTATTTTAGAATTAATAGGAAAGAAGTGTCACAGTACCCAATAAGACATTTTTCAGTTCTTGATAAATATAGCTATTAGTCACTACTTACAAACCTACTTTAATTCAAACTCTTTATGACACTTTAATTTGCATTTACATTTTGTTTTACAAATTTTAGAGTTTTTGTACATTTAAGCTTGAAAATTTTATCAAATATTTATCCTGATGAAGGTTCGTTAAGAACTGAAACTGGAAGATTATTAATTACTCAACCTGCACTGGTGTTGATGTGTTGTATTTCTTTATTTCTTTCTTATTTTAAAATTTTAGAGTTGTATACATATACCAAGGTCTTATAAAAGTGTTTCATTTTCTGTCTTTACATATTAGATATTGATAATCATTTTCTGTCTTTACTTATTTGATATCGTTAATCATAATTTAGGACCAAGTGATGGCAGAACTGAAGCTATATGCCTCAAAAGAGAAAGGTACAGCAAAGCTCTTCAGAATGCTATTCAATATAGAAGAGATTAAAGGCCGCTCATTGTTTGTATGAGGAAAAGGGAACAGAGAGTCTGACACCAGACCTTCTTGTGCAGACAAGGCAAAACTTAAGTTCTTGGAAGGTAACTAATGAACTGAATGAAAATATCATTTTGGATTCTGCGTATATTTTCTGCCTTGGAGTAAATAAGAAAAGCCTGATTCTTCCCTGTCTGCAGTGCTGTTTTTTAAAGTGTTTTAATCATATTTATGCACTCAAATTGAATATAGAAATATCCAATAGTCATATAAAATTGTAAGCTTATGTTTTTAATTATTGTTTTAATCATTCATAATTTTTTTAGTTTTAGATTGTGCGCTCGAAAAGTTGCCGACAACCTAAAGGACTGAACTCAAACCGTCCAGGAATAGCAAGATAAACTGAAGAAAATAAATGGACTAATGTTTTGCTATTTTTTGAGACAATATATAATTTCATATGGGAACATTAAAAAGGATTATTTTTAAAATTTGTTTGTTTCCAATTTAGGGTACAGGGTGACTTTCAAGCAGTTTCCAGCTATTGCCACCCACAAGGTGAAAATTTTCTGAAAGGGTGAAAATAGGTGGCATTTAGTGGAAACTGAATTTGCCACTATCTGGTGGCAAAATGGTGGAAAAGTGTCTAAATACTCCACCAATTTTCCACCCTTATGGTGGCATTTGGTGGAAATAAGTGGCATTTGGTGGAAAATAAGTTTGCCACTCAATGGTGGCATAATGGTGGAAATTTGTCTAAATACTCCACCAATTTTCCACCATTATGGTGGCAATAAGTGGAAACAAGTGGCATCTAGTGGAAAATGAGTTTGCCACCCTAAGGTGGCATAATGGTGGCATTATGGTGAAAGTTTGTCTAAATACTCCACCAATTTTCCACTTATTGGTGGCATTTAGTGTAAAAAAGGTGGAATTAACTGGAAAATTATATAACATCAGTCCTGCTCAAATTTTTCACCATTTTCATGATTTGGGTGGCGTTTTGGTGGCATTATTGGTGGAAAATTGTCTAAATACTCCACCATTGAAAAGGGTGGCATTTTAGTGGCAAATCTAGGGACGGGCATGTTTAAATATTAAAAATTTAATATAACAATTTGATTATATAATTATTGTGACAATATTTTCTATTACACCCTGTATTAGTTGTTATGCTGTTAATAATAACACATTTAACAAAATGACCTATATAATATTACTTTCAAAAACTGTAAGGTAGATAATATCAGTATAATTTAAAGCCATGGAACATTTTAACAATAATGCCATAAAAAGAAAACTCTACAATTTTTTCTTCTTCACCCAATATTGTTCTAACTTTACTTGTAAAATAATGTATTTTTGAGGCATGTTATATTATGTACTGTGTATATACCTGTATGTTGTTTAAAAATGTTTAATATATTTGCTATGTATATGCTGATGTCTCATGGAAGATATGGAAACTGAATGTGTTAGCCTCATTAAAACTAGAAATGTGTCCATAGGACACGGATGCCCCCACACGCCACTGTTCTGTCAATCTTATGACTCTAGGTCAAATATTTTTTGGACTACAGGTGCCACAAGTTGAAAACTAAAAATCAACAAAGGGCCATAATTCTGTTAAATTTGGTCGCAGCAAAAATTCCTTCCTTTACTACCATCTACACATTAAGGTTGTTAATCCCTGGAAGTTTAAGCAAAATCTGCCATCCGGTTTAAGAGGAGTTGCGTTCACAAAATTTCTACATAGTATATAATGAAAAAATCAACAAAGGGCCATAATTCTCTTAAATTTGGTCGCAGCGAAAATTCCTTCCTTTACTACCATCTACACCTTAAGGTTGTTCATCCCTGTAAGTTTAAGCAAAATCTGCCATCCCGTTTAAGAGGAGTTGCATTCACAAAATTTTTACATAGTAATATAGTGAAAAAATCAACAAAGGGCCATAATTCTGTAAAATTTGGTCGCAGCAAAAATTCCTTCCTTTACTACCATCTACATATTTAGGTTGTTCATCCCTGTAAGTTTAAGCAAAATCTGCCATCCGGTTTAAGAGGAGTTGCGTTCACAAAATTTCTACATAGTATCTAGTGAAAAAATCAACAAAGGGCCATAATTCTGTTAAATTTGGTCGCAGCAAAAATTCCTTCCTTTACTACCATCTACACATTAAGGTTGGTTATACCTGTAAGTTTAAGCAAAATCTGCCATCCGGTTTAAGAGGAGTTGCGTTCACAAGATTTCGGGGCGTACGGACGGACTGACGGACAAGTGCAACGCTATATCGATGCCTTGGTGCGAAAGGGTTGTAACTCATAATTTCACCGAAAATGGTTTTATGGTGTTTTTCAATGTAGGAGCAATATACACACATGTTGTAAAAATATTAAACTTGAAAGCTAAAATTAAACTACCAAAAAGTATATTTGTCCAAAGGTTGTAACTCAAACAGACATATTTTGTTGGTGCGAAACGGTTGTAACTTAAGTTACAACCGTTTCGCACCAACATTTTGATAATATTTTGAATAAATCCTAGTGCAAAATAGTTGTATCTCAATATCTTATATCATATTCTGTGAAATATTTAGTGGATTATTTCTTTCAAACTAATTGACAAGTTTATAAAACAGTCTCAGCTTCTGATTCCTTGTTATTTACATAATTGTTAAGCTTTCATTTAGACATAATACAAGAATTTGAATAACTTACTCATATTTCAAACATAAATCAATTCCAATGCTTGTAAAAGAAACAATATCATAGTACATTGCTATACATAAAACATAAAAATTGTTATTGGTATAATGTTGCATTGTTTGCAAAATAGCAAGAAAAAGTAATGGACCGATTTTGGTTTTACGAAAATGAAATTACTGTAACTCGAAATAAATTTATTAGGGATGTCATTCGGAGTCCGGATATCCGAACGTTCGGATAACGATTCGGTGTCCGGAGCCGATTTTCTGATCCGGATGTTCGTATAAAATATTTTAAAATATTGAGAAAATGTGATAAATACATGCGTTGAGATAATCGTAGACATGGTGTTGACACCATATTGTATATTGTACCTTAGTTTGACAATACACATCATAATCTCTGCAGACCACAAAAAATCAATAATTACTATAATAATTACGAGTCAATTATGACACATGTTGTTAATCAAATTTAAGTTTTGTAAGATTCAAGATGGATATTCTAAGTCCCGTGCGACTGTCATCGGCAACGATGTTACATTTTTTTATGTCCAAATTTAAATATTTAATTAGGTTATTATTTTTATATATATTTCGGCTTACCGACCCGTCGACTCCTTATTTTGAGACAATGAAAAATCTGCAGAAATAAAATAAGCAAATAAAGAAATGCACTTACGAATTATATGTTAATTATCACAGCTTTTATTGAAATTGATACGAAAATTATCCGACAAAATAACTTTCTCCTTTAGTATTAATCAAACATGTGCATTTTTTTAAAAATTTTTTTTTCACATTTCTTTTTTCACTTATGAACACTTAAAATGTGTGTAATTCATGTAAGTTTCGGCACTTTCTTTGAAGATTCGAATCAAACAGCCAGGGCTACATGATGGTAAACATCAAAGATTGGCAGATTCTTTTGAAAAGCCGGCTACACGTGTGTTAAAGGTCATCGTGTGTAAATTGTATGCATGTTATTGAACAATGGAAACATTATATTTAATTTTTACGGGTATTATTTTGTTTTCACAAAATTTTTTTTTCGAATTTTATTGCGTATTTTAGCGCTAATTGAGGAATTCAGACAATCGGCGGCGAATATCGTTTTCATTTCATTTGAAATCGTAAGTACCACACGCACTGAATTTATTGATAACAGCTAGTCGTATTCTATATAGAAGAAATAAAATCAATAACGGAAATTTTTTGATATGTATCATTCAATTAAAAAGGAAGAAAAACGAAATACTACACTTTGAAAAAGGTCGCGAATAAATGGTTACGTCATATCAGACATCTAAGAATATAACAACGATCCGAACATCCGGATGTATCCGGATGTTTGATTCGGATATCCGGATGGCCGTTTCGGCTCCAGATGACATCCCTAAAATTTATTATAAACAATTGTCATACAATATTTATGATTGTATCATAGTTTGGAGACTTTTGAAAACATGTCAGAGTTAAATTGCATACCAATACATGCACAGTGCTTTAACTCACTGTCTGTCTGGAGCTTGCTTGTTAACTGGTTCATTTTTTCTGGTTTTTACATGTTGTGACGACAGGGAAAGAGACAGGGAAGGAGATAACAGTAGAAAAGTCATATTCAGATGCTTAAACATTAGTACATTTTTCTTGGATGACTGGGAATGTGTTTTCATTTTTGCCTAAGATACAAAAGAGAAAGAACATCAAAACAATCGGCAATCTGATTTATACTCTCATACAAATCTGACAGCCTTGTGTTTCGATGCTTTTTTAATTACTAAATGTTAAAATAACTAAAAGAAATTATACAATTATTACTCAATTCTTGATTTGGTTTTAAACTTACATGAATTACTTTTATCACTTACATGTATTACTATTGGAATATTTTCATGTCTTGTCAAAGACAAATTGTATTTATAAATATTGTACTAAAATTTATTTACGTTACAAGACAATGTCTGAATAGATATGTGAACAAATTTTTCTTTGACAACATATTGTAAACAGTAAGTTTAGAGACATATACATATGTATAGACAAAAGTATTACAATATAACAAAGGTGTTTATGTGTAGATAATAGAATTAATATTAACCTACATGTAGATAAAAGATGTTAAAACTAAAATTCTTAAAAAAATTATTAAAGGATTTCTCAGTAGCAATAGAAAAATATAAACCTAACATTATATCCCTAAAGCAAAAAGATTAAAAATGTTACAAGCTAAATGTTTGCATGCCTGTTTGATTGAGCTTTTCAAGGATAGCAGTAGTAAATGCAATCAACTGTCAACTCTTCTGGCACAAATTTAAGCAAAACTCAACTAAACATGTTCATGGTGTTCAGAAATATCTGCTGATGGGACAAAAGAAAAAGACTTAAAGATTTTCCATTAAACTGCAAGCCAACAGTATGATGTATGGTTGAATTACACAGATAAACAGGCTACATATAGGTCTAGCTTAATACAAGTTACATAGGTCTTTTATTTAAGAAATAATATATCACAAACTGTGATTTTATCGCTCAATAAAATCACTGTTTGGAGTTGGATGTGTGGAATTACGAGGAGGTAGCCCGAGTGATATAATGATGCACATTCAACAAACAGTGATTTTATCAAGTAACTCCAAGCGATTTGGATACATTATTTTAATTCTAACACGACATCAACAAATAAAATTTTAATGCTGCCTTATCTTATATTTATCTAAATTGCGCCTGATTTGTTTTCGTACTCATTTTCAGCATGTCACATTTTTAGTGGTAACTTTGCGTGTATAATGACTACATCACATGTCTTAATATAGAATGTCAAACAGTGATTTTATTGCATAATAACGCACAATTTCGGTTCTTCTATGTTCAATAGGGAAAAATGCGGGTCATGTTAAAATATTAAGTAAAATATGTTATTGACCCTTTGTTTTCTGTTGGATAAAAGTAAATATCAGATATATTCCATCTCCTATTTAAAATCATTCATAAAGATATTAATCACTTCCTCAGCTGTATGTGCGTTTGTGTGCACACCTGTGAATTTTATTGGGGTCACAGGGGATTGCATTTTGTAATTTTTATTATTTGCAGGCCTTATTTTTTTCTCATTTAATTACTGACTGATTCAGGCTGGACTGATTTATATAATTATAAACAATGAAATTTTGGACTGTAAAGAGTTGTAAGAATAGCATGAGCTTAGAACATCTATAATATTTATCATCTTTCTCTTTTGGCTTAATAGTAAAGAAGATCCAGGACTTGGATAATGCTTAAATATATAGAATTTGTACACAAAAGCACATCCTAGGAATTATCTAAGTTTTCAAATTAAGAAAAGCCTATGTATAGAATAGATGGAAAATAAAATGAGAGTATTCTCATTTTCAAAAGGCTTATACATGTATTAACAAAAATAATGTGTCTTAGATGGTTTTGTCATTATGTAAGTTCACATTTTGAATTGTGAAAATTTACCTTTGATTCTTGCAAAAACATACATGTTAATGCATATTTGGTACTTATGATGGGTTTGACCATCTGAACTGTGTGTCACATAAAAAAAATATTATATATAAAGTGAATTTCTTTTAAAAAAAATCATTTGACTGAAATTATATTTTAAAAACATAAAATTTGAAGGTTTTTCACTGAAATATCCAGGCAATATTTTAAATTAGTTCATATTTAACACAACTAAGCTTGGATCTGTCCATTTGATCCATTACATTTATCAGAATTTAAAGCAAAAATTTAGTTACAACCCTTTCGCACCAAATCATTTTTTGAAATTTTTGATTTTTTTGGTGCGAAAGGGTTGTAACTGAAACTTTGTCAATTATCTCTTTATGCTGACAAAATAAAATAACCTATCCAATCAATTATATATCAGTAATTGAATTAGCGCCAAAAACCAAAATTAAAGAAGTATTTATTAGAATGTAAAAGAATAAATAAGTTTTTTGTCTCTCCTGAATAATTTCAAAATATTGAGTTACAACCCTTTCGCACCAAGGCATCGATATGCTCCCACATTGTGGGCGCATAAAAAGTTGTTACTTACTTACTATCACATTAAATCACAAGAAAGTAATGTAGCATCTTACGTCAAGTTAAGAATATCCTGATTGAGGTAAATAAAGAAATTGGTATGTTTTACTTATATGCATGTAACATTATGATTTAGTCTAAGAATAATAGTTAGAACAATCAGTAAAATTATGTTCATATCATTACACAGTACAGTAACACAGCCATGCACACCAAACAAGAACAAAATAATGACTTTCGATTTGATGATGCAGAACAATTAAAGTAAAATCCATACAAGGTGGGGTCCTATTTTAGACAAGACAAAAACTCTGTTGAACATGCTTTGGTTACACAAATTACATTATTAGTAAATTCTGACATCGAGGTTTACCAATCTACATATATGCTTCAGCTGAGATTCGAACTCAGAACTCCTCTTGAAGTCTCTCATGTAAGAACAGACTAAGAGATGTTTTTCGAATTAAACTACAAAAGCTAATCAATTGGTAACCAGGATGATACAAATTAAAATGCCGGTAGTATTTGGAATGTTTCTGAAATGAACAATGAATTCTTTACTTTTTTCTTAAAAATCTTACATTCATAGTTATGATAACATCTATGTGGAGATCAAAAATGTTAATATAATTTTATCATACATAAGTACATGTATTATCATTGGATTTTAGCCTTGTTTCCAAAGTCCAAAAAAATCCATATCAAATTTATACTGTAGTCTATTTAACCTAGTTTTAGTCCAAAAAGTCAATATCAGAAACATATTGTACTTGAACTAAAAATGTTAAAACATTGGTGGTTTAAAATAAGGATGCCATTACATATCATATTAAATACTGCATGTTTGTAACGTCGCTTTTCATTGGATAATCGAGACGTTTATATAGTTTTACATACACAGCTGCTGTCAATTCATGAAGATATCGCGCTTTAATCCTCTCAAAATGATGATTGCTGTATTATAAATTTGTTATAAATATTTTTTGACAGGTTATTTGGCCGTATATAATCGGTTGTTGGCAATATAACACTCGCCTAGCAGCTTGGGTTATATTTACAAGCTTTTATATAGGGCCATATAACTTGTCACTGAATTAAGTATATACTGATTCTATTATCAATAGGACTTCAAAACCTTTATTGCACTCATCTGTTTAGGTTTTATAGCTTTATATTCATGCAAGACATTTCAGTATTGTACTAGATAACATAAAACAACCTCATAATTTTTCAGATATGAGAACACAAGCTGTTAAATTCATGTTTCTAAAAATTGACACAATTCTTATTGAATTCCATTTGCTTTTTCTAGAATGAAGCTGACAATCAATATTATGATAATATAGCAAGAGCTGCAATCGCTTAGCAAGGGCCACACTTGACTTTTTCTTTTCCTAAAGTCAAACACATCAGACAAGGAATTATATTGTAGTTTATTGTTTCGGAAAGTTTCCTTTTATAGTAAATCTAAAACATATAAGGTAAGGGAAGGAAATATTATATCCTATACAAGAGCGAGAGAAATATTTTTGTATCATATTTCTCTTTTAGGGTTAGACAGGTCGAAATTTGGTCTCCATTCATTAAGGTCTGGGGGAGCTACAGCTGCAGCTCTTAAAGGTGTGACAGATAGGCTTATTAAGAAGCATGGTCGGTGGAAGTGTTTGTTGTTTTTTTCAAAACAAGGTTATAATATTGTTTAATTATAAATAATTTGTTTGTCATAAGGAACTGAAAGAAAACATAAATTCACTTATTTGATCTTGAGTGTCAACAGCGGCAACAACAACAACATAACTGTAGTAATTAGTCTTTTATTCTCAAAAGTCAAGCTAAGGAATAAAATATTAAAATATATCAGTTAAAAAAAATATTTCAAACATAATAATTTTTGCATTATAATTGTACCTAGAACTGCTTGCTTACTTAAAAGTAACAAAAGAACCTACACTGTTATTTTTTGCTGTTTATTTGTGATTCACAAGAAGAAAACACAGAGACTGATAAGTTGGTCATGAAAATAATTTGATATATGATAATTTTATGTACCAACATTCAAATCTTTGTTAAGTGTTTAAAAAGAATGTATCTTTGTTTTGTTACACAATTACCAACAACAAGTGCACATGCCAAGTATCAATAGGTCAATGTGACTGTGTACTGAAGTTATTGAGAAGAAGCTGAAAATTCTATTGTAAGCAAGTGACCTTGACCTTGCACCTAGATCTAAGCTATCCATACACCATGTTTGGATTCAATAGGCCTAAGCAAACTCCAATTATTGAGCAGGAACTGAATTACTACAGTGACCTTGACCTTGATCACAGACACCTTAGTAGCAATCCCAAGCTGCCTCTTAATAAAAGCTACCAACACACAAAGTTTGGCATCAATAGGTCAAAGCAAACTCAAGTTATTGAGCAGAAACCAAAAGTTGACACCCGCCTACCAACTTCAGCATTACAATTACCAGTTTTCGTTAAAAACCTGGTTAAAAACATTATATACTTTTCTATTGTTTTAGTTATTTACAGGAACTATTTAATCAAAATGATAGAAGGAGATAATATGGATGGTCAAAGAATATTTTATAGGCACATTATAATCTATGCCTCAGAAATAAATTATAGAAAACAGAAAAAATCAGTTTTATATGAGCCGCGTCACGAGTTTGCGACCAGCATGGATCCAGACTAGCCTGCGCATCCGTGCAGTCTGATCAGGTTTCATTCTGTTCGCTATCAGTTTCTCTACTTGTTAAACTGTTTCAAAGCGAACAGTATGGATCCTGATCAGACTGTGCGGATGCGCAGGCTGGTCTGGATCCATGCTGGTTGCAAACCCATTATGTTGGTTTTGTCATGTCACGGCTCATATGTTTAAATCATTGTTTTATATCAGATGCTTGTTACCAGAAGAAAGTACCGCTTAAAATTATAATGTGAAATTATTTTCAAAATATAAACAAAGTAATAGTTTGACTCCCATACAAAATACTAAATCACTATAACTGTACCAATTAATGAAATAGCAACAGAAGAAAAAGATGGTTAAGGTAATTGACAATAAGTAACTTTTTTTTAAAACAATACAAACACACCAAAAATAAGAAGCTTTTGAGAAATAAAACTAAAAACATTTCTGGGCATAAAGGGCCTTTAAGCAGAAAAAAGCAGAAAAGTTAAGCAAATGCTTGTGAACAATTAAAAGTCACAACAAATTTGTTTGTGATGTAATTAATCAGTCTGCAACACCTGTTATATATAAATGTTGGAATGACTTCCTAAAATTCAAATTGACACATTTATACTTCACCTGCTGTGTTTACAAAAATAATTAATTGGACATTACTCAATGGGTATTTCAAAATAAATGTATACTAAATCCTTTATTAGTTCTGGGAAAAGTCAGAATTATTTAGTACTTGTACAGAATTATGAAATCCCAAAACTCTCTTTTATACAAACCGGTGCTTTTTAATGATGCAAATGGTAATTTATTAAATAGCTGGTCAAAAAATGTTAAAAATATGTCGTCAGATTTAAGTAATTATACATGTATAGAATAATGATAATCCGTAAATACCAAAATACAAAATATTTTTGATCAGCAACTACAACAATGGTGTGCTAACTTATTACTTTTTCAAATTTTGAAAGTTATAATTTGTTTAAAATAGAATTTACCCAAGAGAAATATTAAAGTTGTGTTAATAATTTTAAGCATTGTAAAATGCTATCAAAGTTTAGGTGCTCTTCACTTAAATTAGTTATTAAAGAGGGTAGACATAGAAATATTGAAAGAAACCAAAATGTACAAAATAAAATATGAAACAAATTGAAACTGAGTAGATCTATAATGAAATGTACAAACAAATGTGTAAATATAAACTTAGCAAAATTTGTTTAATAAGCCATGCAACTATGAATTGAACCTACGTTAAAGGAACTCCACTCAGGTCCAAAATCCTAGGAACATAAAAATTTGAATGTTGTTGATGGATAAGCTGGGGCACTTAAAACAGAAAGATATGCAAAAGATGATTAAGAAATACCCAAAAATAAATTCAAAATTGTATTTTTTGCTATTTTCAACCTGATAAAAGTAATAAAATGTTGAAACACTTTTCAATTTTTGGTCATTTTCATAAGAAGAAGAATTATTCTGGAAAAACGGAGTGAGCTAATAATCTGAATTTTTTCACACATATTACTGGTTGAGACCTACATCAAATGGAACATTAATCTCAAAAAATAATTTTTAGTATTGTTATGTCAAAAATATGTCAGTGGAGTCCCTTTAATACAATTGTTTGAATTATTTTACTCTGAGACATAAGTGTATGTATAATAATTTATAATACATCTTACTTTTCTGTACTTATTGTACCGCTTAAATGTAACTTGGCAATGAACATGTACCGGGTATATGTTTTTGCTAATAAAACATTTGATTTGACTTTGAAAATTTAACAAATGGCATAGATATTTGTATTTCTTACAGCTTTATATTTTTTATGACAGAAAATTTCCAAAGTTATTAATGAAAAAATTTAATCAGGAGTAAGAGTACTACTTTACCTGCTGTACTGCATGAAAAAATTGGGCAAATAGATATTGTGACAATTATTCTTGTCAAGTTAAATTATTATTGGTTAAGCATTTAAACAGAGGTACATATAAATGGCCAGACAACCACAATGACTCACAGCCTTAAACCAGTATACCAGCTGCATAACTTAGTTGTACAGCTAGAGGTATAATAAAGATCTTTAAGACATATCTTTTTAAATAATTTACAAATGTATTTTTATTTGTTTGTTTTGGGTTTTATGTCACATCGACACATTATAGGTCATATTGAGACATTCAGCTTTACTGGTGGAGGAAGACCTCAGGTGCCCTTCCATGCATTATTTCATGCACAAACGGGAACCTGAGTAGAACCACCGACGTTCTGTAAGCTAGCAGGATAGCTTCCTCACATGAAAGAATCCATGTGTCGGGATTCGAACCCACAGCGGTGAGGGGCAAGTGGTTTGAAATACAGAGGTATAATAAAGATCTTTAAGACGTATCTTTTAAAATAATTTATAAATGTAATCACTGGAGTTTATCACTGGAGTGAGAACACTATATTACTGATTCTGAATTCCTTGAACACCTGCTACTGAAGTTTATCACTGGAGTTAGAACACTTAATTATTGATTCTGAATTCCTTGAACACCTGCTACTGGAGTTTATCACTGGAGTTGGAACACTATGATATAATTGATTTTGAATTCCTTGAACACCTGCTACTGGAGTTTATCACTGGAGTTGGAACACTATGATATAATTGATTTTAAATTCCTTGAACACCTGCTACTGGAGTTTATCACTGGAGTTGGAACACTATGATATAATTGATTTTAAATTCCTTGAACACCTGCTACTGGAGTTTATCACTCAGGGCTCGACACTAACGATGGTCCGTTAGCCCGAGGCTACCAATTTTCCCCAAGGACTACCCGAGTTTCCAAGCTGGGTATCCCGTCGGGCTACTCAAAATTTCAGTGACCTGATGTCTCTAAATTCACTAAAAATAATTAATAAAATAACATTTTTTTAGGCTATGATTCAAAACGAAAGACAAATTCATCTTACTAGTAAATAATTAGCTAGTGTCAGTCACAGCAGACGCATAATAGATTCTATTTAGGCAGCACACCACACTAAATGAAGCCACAGCTTCGAATGGCCAGGGAGGATTTCATGGATATAGTGCCTATTGTGGATTTAAATGACTGGTTGTCTTTAAAATGCATTTTCAGCATGAAATTTGTTTTTGTGACATGTAATATGATCATTGGCAAATTCGAAAACATGGTTAGAAATCACATGCTGATAATTATTGATGTCAAGGTCGCCATTGTTTGTAAACATTGCTTTTAAACAGCATGCTCGGTGAAAACAAGTAATTTTACAGGGGGGTACAAACTTTCAGCAATAGCAAAAAATCTACAAGGCCAAGCACCTATTTCTTTGTGATATTTTGCATGTATAGGGAGTTGCTAAAGCAGTGACAGAGTTTCTGTAGCCCGTATATTTGCAGGTATTTTTTGCCGGAGGGACGAAATATGTTGTTTTGGGTCTCGGACCACTATAGATTTTTGGCTTTTACGGAATGAATTGGATTTTTTTTAACTGCCTGACTGTTGCACATGGGATGATTTCATTATAGATTTGCAATGTTATGACATATATGTTCTTAACAAAATGTGTTTTCTTTTTCCAGGTTGTGTAGTTTGGGATCAGATTTATCAGACATATTGCTTGTAGGACATTGACGGCAGAAACTTGAAATTTAGTGTGGAGTGCTACCTTAATCTCTATAAAGTTGCGAAAAGTGAAACCGGAAGTCCAACTTAATTGCCGATTTTTCCAGCCTACTTCAATAGAATTCTTTGTCTATTAAACATTTCAATGAAAATATTTGCTTATATTGGAACCTATTCAAGGGTTTTAACTTAAAAGAATATGATTTGTTGATTGGTGTAAATCACACTGACAATGATAACCAAAATAAACGTGTTGTCTGAAATAGATCTAATTTCGGATGTAATTTATTCGGACATGAAATTATTGATTGGGAAAAAATCTCTTTATAAAAAAAGAGAAGAAAAATGTTTAAATCTCTTTAAAAAAGAGAAAAGAAATATTCTAAAGTATTTGTAATTGTCTTTGCCATAACTTCACAATGTTGTCAGCATTTCTTAATCATGTACAAGCAAATGTAAGCAATAATGCCAATACATGTATATGAAGAAAACAATTGTTAACAAATACTAATACCCTAGGCATAAAAAACTTAGGCAATATAGTTTGATTAAATGGCTTTACATTTCTAATTTTGTGTTTAAATCAGGAACAACAGATATTAATCTAATGTCCCTATTTAAATCTTCTGACAGTTAAATAACTGAATTACTAGCACTAGTAAAAGTTTGTTATTCTGATATTTTGTTGTTTTATGTCTGACAAAATAAGTTTGTAGAATAAATCAATTAGAGTAAAGACAAACATATTTTGTTCTTGTCCAAGCTTTTTACTTCTGTTTTGAATTTAAAAACACATCTAAAAGGTCATACATTATCTATACCTGAAAAGTAGATTTGTAAGCTCTATTGAAATATTTTTTTTATACAAAAGCCAGGTATTACATAAATTTAAAACTGACATACTTATTTAGCTCATATTGCCAATATATTCTCCCCTTCCCTATAAGCTGTCAATAATATAAGCTGAGCTGATTGCCTAGCAATTTTATTTGCAACACACCTTAGTAATTCCTTAGTAGAACCCATTCAAAACCTATTGACTTTTGTGTGTCACACTGCCATATTTTATAACAAAAATATGTAAAAAAATTGTTGATGATGACTTTGAAGAGCTCAGAGGCTAGCCGGAACCTATATCTCATGCAGAGTAAAGCTTACAAACTTTTACTAGATCTTATATGATTTATCTATTGGTGATTTTTTCCAATAAATTTGAAGAGATCTCATGCAATTGTTTTCTTATCTTCAGATACATACACTCAAAATGCATTTAAATAGAATAAGAAACGTTTTTTATGTTTAAAAATGAGGACTACCTAGATTTGCCAAGGACTACCTGATCCTCAAAGTAGGTAGTCCTTCTGACTACCCCTAAAAAAAGTTAGTGTCAAGCCCTGTCACTGTAGTTGTAACACTTAATTATTGATTTTGAATTCCTTGAACACCTGTTAGTGGAGTTTATCACTGGAGTTAGAACACTTAATTATTGATTCTGAATTCCTTGAACACCTGCTACTGGAGTTTATCACTGCACTTCTATTGATGAATTTCTCATTGTTGTAGATTTTTGGATCCCTACAGTTTAAGTGTCATCAATTAGTCCACTAGAATGTCTCATTCCGTTTTCATGTTGAGAAAAACAAATGTCAATTCACTGTCCTCCCAGAAGTTTGTGTCTCTCTGATAATAAAAGAAATATATATTAATATCACTTATTATTATTTATTTAGGAAAATAGATATCATTTTAAATGTATTGTTGTAAAATAATGCAGGCTTTCAGTTAAAATGTGCAGGAGTATAATCACAAAGACCGATATGCCTGAGCGATTAATTGGAAAGCATTTGAACAATAAACCATGCATTTATATACTAGTACCACAATGCAGGAAAAATTAATATCTATTTCCATTCATATATGCTTATTAAAAGATAATTCATAAAAATATGTTGAACTACATTGAGCATAAAAGTAATTTCCCTGATGTCATTTGTTTAACTGATTTCATAACTGACGTCATATGATGTGTAACCATTTTTTTATGCTGTGCATATATCGTGTAATAATTCACTTGATGATAAGCCCTCTCTGTTATGTATATTATTAATTACTAATAGTGTGAAGCATGTTTTAATAATACATATATCACAAAAACCAAAATATCTATCACTTTTTTGTACACATCTCAAATAAAATATTGTAATATACTTTGCCTCATTAATTTTAAATGAAAAATTAATATTTGTCAATTATTTTTTATTGGCAGATTTTATATTTTAATTTTGCATGTAATATGCATATAAAATTTTCCTGTGACAATAAATTGCAGTAAGATTATGTAAACAATGAAATCACCCTGAAATAATTTAATTTGACAAACTTATATGATTTCATGTTTTTCTAAGTTCTAGTAATTTTATTCTACATGTATTAACTTTAAATTTCTATAGATACAAACATGGATAATGCAAAAGAAATGCAATGTTATATTTTTGCTTAAGAAACGTTTTCAGTATTAATCCTCAACATACTAGATATCTGTACTGAACTTGTCCATTTCTTAATATATATATTACCATTCATTATTGTACGGACTATAATATTACAGTGCAGACCATCTTGGTTACATGGTACAAGCAGACGTACGGTTAGTTAATACATTAGTCATTTTTTATATTCATATGCTGATTAAATGCTGGATAAAAACAAATTATTTGTACCATCTTATTGCAACACAAATCACATACATTACTGACATTCACAAATAAATTGTAATGGTAATAATAAATTATTTCAATAATCGCGAGCATTTGATTTACCTGATAGAAATATCATGTTCATTTTGTAAATTGACTTATATGAACCTGGAAAAATTAAGAAATTGGTACTATATATTTTAATGGTAGTGAAACTTGTTTACTAAACCATCTGTGGGTTTTGCTGTTTGAAAGAAGTTAAAATCATGCAACACTTTTATCAGGAATTTTCTCAGTTGATAAATTGCCATAAATAAGTCATAATCCGTACTTTGAACAGTAATCTCTAATGACTAAGAGATCTTAAATATATATCTATTGAGTTTCAAGTGAATACCTTTAATATTTTTGAAAACTGTTGTCGATGTAAAACATATAAAATAAATACATACAGTCAGAGTGCCTTTCTCCAGCTATTTTGGGGAAAAAATTCCCCTGACTTAAATTGAGGAAAAATTATGCATCAGTTTCATTCTAAGAGTATTTAACATATATATTTACCAATTGATCTGTCTTTTTTTATAAAAGTATTATATCTTAAACTTCACAGCAGTAGAATAGTCCAGACATCAACACTCTGTTTCCTATAAAATATAAAACAAGAGCGATCAGTAATCACATGTGTCGCCTCATAATGGCCAATTTCATGTTGGGACAAAGTTTGTGACAGACGGACAGACAGACGGACAGTGCACAACTAGACTTGGTACTGATCATTCCTGTAAAGTTTGGATGAAATTGCACCAGTAGTTTATGAGGAGTAGTCCGGACAAGAATTTGCGTATCTGGCAACACACAGAAAAAACACCTTTTTATCAAAGGGCCATAACTCGGCCGAAAATCATTCAACCAAAAAACCCGTGCAATATGCGCAAGGACTTGAGCTACAGATCAATCCTGTAACGTTTCATTGAAATTGCTTTAGTGGTATAAGAGAAGTAGTCCGGACAAACTATAAAAATAAAAATTATTAAAGGGCCATAACTCTGACAAAAATCATTGAACCGGAAAATGCTGATAATATGCACAACTACCCTTAGTACTGATTATTCCTGTAAAGTTTAGATGAAATTGCACCAGTAGTTTATGAGGAGTAGTCCGGACAAGCTTTTGTGTATCTGGCAACATACAGAAAAATAAACCTTTTTTATCAAAGGGCCATAACTCGGCCAAAAATCATTCAACCGGAAAACCCTTGCAATATGCGCAAGGACTTGAGCTACAGATCAATCCTGTAAAGTTTCATTGAAATTGCTTTAGTGGTATAAGAGAAGTAGTCCGGACAAACTTTAAAATTAAAAATTATTAAAGGGCCATAACTCTGACAAAAATCATTGAACCAGAAAATGCTGACAATATGCACAACTAGACTTGGTACTGATCATTCCTGTAAAGTTTGGATGAAATTGCACCAGTAGTTTATGAGGAGTAGTCCAGACAAGTTTTGTGCGTACAGACGGACAGACAGACGACGGAGAAGTGATCCCTATATGTTGCCACTACTCCGTGGAGGCGACACAAAAACTTAACACAGAAATAAATACAGAATATATTAAAAAAATTGTACTACCATAGTCTGTTAGATTCTACTGTCCCAATTTTTTTTCTATTTCTGCTTAAAAATTTCAAAAAATGTGATTAAATGGTATGTTCTCATAAACAGGCTAAATTTAAATTGTAACAACAAATTTCAATATCAATAAAACTGTTATTCTACAATAATTTTATTGTTTTTATGAATGTATGACCATCATAATGCTTAAGTGATAAATAAAACCTCATTTTTTCAGATCAAGCTGGGCACTTGGGTACAACCACTGTGACCCCACTAAAGCTACAGTAGCTAAATAGCTTTCCAACATGAAAGGGCTATAAGGTCTTGTTCGGATTTGAGCCATTGCAATAAGATGCAAATGATTCAAAGTTAGTGACCACAACTGTTTGACCACAAAGGCCTCTTCTAAATTTTAGCCATTTCATGTATTTGTAGTGGATAAATTGGTTACAATATTTTGCTGATAGCATTTAAAAGTTCTAAGCATAAAATACTTCATCAAATATTTTAAGTTATAATAATTAAGCTTATAGTATTACGTTTGGAATGAATAAAAACTGTATATACCATATACACTGGGGAGAGCAAGGACCGCCCCTGCCACGCTGATGGTTTATTATCTTGTAGATTGTTGAAAAACAGTGGATACAATGCTGGTATAGATGACCTGAAAAATACAGTTGATCTATGTTGGATTTTATATTTAGAAAATATCAATTATGATTGTCTTGTTGCATAAAAATGCAGCGTAGAGTTCAAATAGGCAGGAATACAATCACAAAGGCCGGAAAACCTTAGTGATTAATTACAAAGCATTTGAACAATAAACAGTGCATTATTATATTTATCACATAGCTGTGCTGATTTTGCGATTCTGTAAAAATGGTAATGCACAGGTTGTGTATATATTTTAATGTGTTATCATTTGCATTATACAATCATAGCAAAAAAAGATGCAGGAAATGTCAGTGTTACACTTTAAAGTGCATCAATGAAAAAGTGTTTTCTTTTCACTGTTCACATTTCTTATTTTGGATATGTGATAAAAAGAATACAAGATTTGTGTAGCTTCATTACTAAAATAAATGAACAAGTTAAAACCAGAATAATAATTTGAGCCGTGTCATGACAAAACCAACAGCATTTGCGCAGTCTGATCAGGATCCATGCTGTTCGCTATCAGTTTCTCTACTTGTTATAGGGTTTGTAAGCGAACAGCATGGATCCTGATCAGACTGTGCGGATGCGCAGGCTGGTCTGGATCCATGCTGGTCGCAAACGCATTATGTTGGTTTTGTCGTGACTCGGCTCATTTGTTCTCCAGAAAACATTATTAAAAGTAAGAAAATAATGTAGATGGATTTGAAAATATTATTTTAAAGATAAAAGTAAACAACTCTTTGCACATTATATGAGCTTAATGGAATAAACTGCTGCTATAAACATAAACAGAAGGACAGTCAAACAGGGAAATCATATCGTAAATATGGGTCGTGTCCATTAACCAACAATCATAAAGAAAGTTGTGGAGACAGACCTTTAATGAAAAGCCTGAACCATGAATTTTCTATAGAGTTTTAGGAGAGGTATAATTCTGTGAGAAAAAAATGTCCTGCAAGACTTATTGGTCTAGGAAATTATATGCAATTATTACCCTAAAATAAGTGTCAAGTTCATGCAAATACCCACAGGAAAATTCTTTGCAAGGACTCAGGTATGATTTACACATTTTACCATCTCTAACTGTCCAGCTGTCATCACTAAAACGAATTAGAAGAGCCTCTAACAACCTTGGAATATACATTTCTTGCATAGCAGACTGGCGTTTCCGTGAGTTTTACCCATGCCAGAAATTTCATCTGGCATGGGGGGTGCCAGATGAGTCGCGTGCCAAACAACAACGTCATTTTAGCGCACTTTATGAATGAACCGCGGTAAATGACGTCGTTTTAGAAGGGAAATATGTGCTTAGGATGACGTCATTTCGCCGTTGTTATTAAAGTTGTAAGTTCATACGCTATTTTAAGAAAAAAGTTATGGATGAAATGACTTTAATTTCCATGAACATATATCATATTGAGGTAAACCATTTTAGATATGAAATAATATGGCAGAATATGCAAGAAAAAATATCTAACATATGTTTGCGGTTCGGATCGGAATATCCGTCCCTCGGGAACCCGCCCATGGGCGGTAACGAGGCTTGCCGAGTGATGGTACCAACTTAATGACGTGACGTCGTAAATGACGTCACGTTGTATTATTTTTTGGCGCGCTTTTAATTCAATATTAGATTTAAATGTCTCTTTGCATATAATAAAAAGAAAATTTGTTTAGTTTAGTGTAAGATCGAAATATATTTCACCTTGTGAACACCAAAATGTCATATTTCACTCGTGGCTGCGCCACTCGTGAAATATACCTTTTGGTGCTCAGTCGGTGAAATATATTCCGATCTTACACTGAACTAAACAAATATCCTCTATACACTAGTAATATAGATAGGTGTTGACTTAAATATCATAAAGAAATAAAATAAAAATCATATAAAACAAAGAATTGGAACAGAAACAGGTGGTCTTAATTTTAATAGTGGATAAACAGGGTTGTCTTCTATGTAGATCATGTGACCATTGACATAAAGAACTGAAAATTACATTATTTTACATTTTGGCCTTAATAGAAGGGTGGTCTAATTCTGGGATAGTCTTAAGTAGGTTTCCATTATATACACAGCAAATGCATACCCATTTTTAATCAGGGAAGAGTTTTCTTATTATTAAGCACCTGTCTAATAACAACAAATCAATATGGTTCAAGCTCAGCTTATTAAACATTTTCATTTTTAACTAGCAATACTATATCCCTTTTTATTTAAAGGTGATGACAGCATTACGTTTTTTTGCGAAGGGTGAATATTTAT